CTCTTGACCTTTCTTCCTCCAATGATTATTCTTGTCCATCTTAAGAGTCTTTCTTATTCTCAATTTAAATATCTAGTTTGTCTTGCCTTGACATGAGACTTTTGCTTTCATTACTTTCAGGCTCACTAAACATTTCTTCATCGCTATTGTGTTGCAATCTAACTTGGTCTGTATACACTGACATCCTATTTTCATTTTTTTTCTATTATCATAGTGTTCACTTTGCCTCATAGTGGTCCACTTTGCCCCATAGTGATTCACTTTGCACAATAAATCTTAACTGTTGTAGATTAGATTCATTATTCTTTTTATGCATAATTTTTCGCTGGTGGCATAGGACATGGTCAATGGAGCTTTAATTTGTCTACTCATGAGGGCAGACAGGTTTTTCAATCTTCCAGCATTTGGTATTGTTCTATAACTTAGCAACAATCTAGAAAAATGTTTCTATCTTTTCTTTACATTGTACACATATTTTCAATTTGTTTTTTTATAGTTTGCACCATCCTTTCTGTTACTCTGTTTGATTGCGGATGGCACAGAGAGGTTGTATTATATTTTTTATATCGCTACCAATAACTTGTTTTATAGCCCTTTGAAAAATCACACTTGCAGTTTTAATTACATATGGCATTCTTTTCCATCTGAATAATCCTATTTTCATGTTTATTGTTGTGACTTCTTTAAAGTCTTTGTCAATAGATATTTGATGCTATACTGACTTTAGATCATTTTTAGAGAATTCTTTCACACCTGCAAGAGAGTTCAAAGCCCATTGGGGATAGGATAGGAGTCTACACATATTTATGGTTTACACCTATTTTGTAGTCATTACAAATGTGCAGATCCCCATCTTCCTTTCATAAAATTATTAACAAGGAGGCCAATTTTCTCCCTCCTGATGAAATTCATTCCTGTAGATCTTGTTTCAGAAATTTTTTTAGTATTTCCACAACTATTTGTAGCAGATGGATTAGCACTTTTCATGCTTCAAAATATGAGGGGGAGACATTTTCCTTTCATCTTAACTTTGCTTCATAGTTTTTTAATATCCCAGTTTCTTTTGCCTTTGCAAATTTTGTTGAATTTATGTTCAATACATCATTTCCTATTAGGCCATGATTCTTTTCACATTTTGTCATAATAATTGGTTATATGTCAAACTTATTTTCTTAATTCCACATAGGCTTCAAAATAACCTGTTTTCATCACGGATCTGTCAAAGTGATTCAATTGCACATGGCTTTGCTTTAATGTTGGTTTTCCTAATTTCTTCCAGAAATATCTGGATATCAGTTTCACATCACTTCCTGCATCTAGTTGCATGTCCAATAAAACATTATTGACTCGAGTTTTTAGTAACCATTTTTCATTTTTTTTAAATGAAAAGATGGTCCCATTTATTTCCTTTTCATTTTGTTGGACTGTCTTTGCATTTTTCTTTTTGGATTTACTCATATCTTTAAAATGATACATTATGAAACACTTTTCTCATTTTTTTTATATGCCAGACATTTTTGCTTTTTTCTTTGATGTTGATATGCACAATAACTACACATTATTCTATCTTTTTTCTTTATCACGTATGTGTCCATTTACTCAACCAGATCTGGAATTTTTGTTCTATTAAATTTTCCAGTTAATTCTTGTTGCTGAACAATTTCAACACACTGTTCTCATGACAACTTTCCCAATTGTTAAATGCATTAGAGTCATTTGCTGATACTCCTCATTTTGAAGGATGTTTACCAATTTCATTTGGATCAAATCCTCTTCAAGTGACTGTTTTTTGATCCCAGTTTCTCAAATTCACAATATTTGGACACCTGTTTTAGACAAAGAACATATTCAATAACTGGTTCATTCAGTTTTGAGTAATATTCATAAACTTAACTCTCTCTGCATTCACTAATTTTTTCTTGGGTGCTATGTTTTTCATTATTAGTTGACTTATATTGTCAAATATCATTTCTTCCAAGTGTCTTGGATGTGCAATTGCTGATGATTTTATGTCCTTACAACCAGCAGTTGCCAAGAAGAGATCAGTTATTTGGTATTCTCTTCCAACTGATTTTAAATCCTTTAGCTTTTTTGTTTTTGTTTTAGCTTTTGCTGCTAGTATCCTAAGCCACATGTGTGTGTATTCATAATTATCGAATCATAATTGTTCATTCAGTTCTTTAGATATCTGCAACACCATTGTAGTGTAGTGTTACTGAATCACAGAAAGTAGTATGCACTCAACTGTCTCATGGGTAATAACTGTAGCTATTTATAGTCTTTGTAACTTCATATGTAAATGAGTCACCTCAGTTTGTTTTTTAACTATCCTTTCCATTCCTTATTCTGTCATCCATTTACACAAACAGATAGGTAGGTTACTCACTATTTCTCTCTTCACTTTTTGAGTTGCTTTGTTATATTCTCCTAAATCTCGTCCACCATCTGGAATCTTCTTTTCAACAGCAATTTTGGCTTTGGAAAAATGTTACAGTGACTCATATCATGACTGGCATAGGGCTGAAGCTTTACACACAAAAAAAAACTTGCACAAGACATGAAACATAGTCAGCCAAGATATTAAAATAAATGGATATTGACTAAACCCATGCAAGAGTGTCTATTCACTCATGTGCAGTCAGGTCCTCTCTGATTTTTTACCAAATTGCATCAAAGTTGCACAACCACTTCACAAACGAACATACATTGCATTTTTCTACAGTATGTATCAGCTTTCTTTAGGTTGTCCTCTTCAGTTTAACTTGGAGCTGCATCTTCTGAAGAAATAATGTATTTCTTGGTCTCTGACCTTATAATCCATTCTTCTTCCATGGTCTCATAAACTGTCTTTTTTGAGATTATGCTTCTAAACTTTGCTAAGTCATTCATGTCATTGCAATTGTTGTCAGGTCTTCACACACATCTCTCACTAGTTTTCTATCCAAAATCTTTTAAATCTTTTGCTTCTTACTTCTGTCAGTCTTGTTCTCTAATGTGTGTGGCTGTCTTTGAATGTCTTGATAATACTTCTCACTCCAATTCCTCGTTTTTTTGTTTTAATCATTTTACACTAAGAAAGACAATAAAGCCACTAAGATGCAAGGGGTGACTGACTATTAAAGAATATCAGATAAAAAAACATTATTAAGGACAATAAAAGAACAGGTTTTAAGAAGATAGAAGATATAATCCTAACAGTATAAGATGATTACTGATAGTGGATTCAGAAAGAAAACTGAAAGAACTCTTAGATAATGTAGTAAAGGAAAGCAAGAAGAAAGGACTAACTATAAAGTGTAAGATGGTAGAATGCATGGCTGCCAACAAAAGGTGTAAGTTATGTACTGAAATTTGTATTAACAGATGACAAGTGCTGGCACAGAAATCTGAAGACATATAGGAACAATAAAAAATGTCTTGCAGAAACTATGCAAAGGAATAAGATTAGAAACAAAGGAAAGATGGCTACATATCATCAAATCTCTGATATGGTAGTGAATGCTAAATGATCTATTCACAGATGAATGAAATACTTTATAAAATTTTCATTCCCGAGTAAATCTAAATTCTTGTGTCAAACACAAAAACCTACTTAATAGGAATAGAAAGGGAAAAGAGAACATGTGTTTCTCTTCTCCTTGAGGTTAAAATAGGTGCAAATAACAAAACAAAACTCAATCACTATGTAAAATTTTAAAGGAAAAACATTTTTTACACAAGTAAAGACAAAAAGATACAAATACAAGATTTGCATAAAAATTTCCTTTTGTGAGTTTATTATGGCAGGATAATAAATTTCTGATGTTTCAAAAAAGGATTAGCATTGAAAAATGGAAAAAATTACAATTTCAGTTTAGAAAAAGACACAAGGATTTTGAAAATGATAAAAGAAAAAGCAATTCAAGATGGCAGCAGAAAAACAAAGGTGCAACCACCTTTCAAAAAAATTGAAAACATCTACTTTTATTTGCATCTTTATCTGGAACATATAGAAATTTTAGAAAAAGTCCCCTTTAAATTCACAATGGGAAAATTTCTTTCAATTCTTTTTCTTCTTTGTTGTCCAACTGCAGGAAAATTTTCATTTGTGAACTTTTAGGCTCTCTGAAGGCTGGCTGGTAACTGGTGCCTTTGCGACTGTTTCTCCCTGGTGTCAAATGCCTTTTGTCATTGCTGTTAAAAAGTCTTCTCCTTTGTCCACTGACTGAGTGCTATTTATTTGGAAAAAGAGGACCACACAAGGCTCCCATTCAGGTTCTTACTAGGGCTTAAGACCATGTTTCTCATTGGTTAGTATATATGAAAACATAATTTTCCATAACTTGAAATGGATTCATAAAAATTTTGGCAGCTTTTAACTGCTGAGCCTAAAAAGTTATACAGTTGTAACAATTTTTTCCACAAACCATCTGGCCTTCATAAAAATACACTTCTCTCAAAAGAACACCTACTAAAAAATAACCTAGAGGATTAAACATTTATTCAGGACTAACATCTTTAAAATAGTAAAAATGAAATTTTTATAACTTGAGGCAACAGAGGATTGCTGCAAATACCATAGAACGAATATTTGAGCAACAACATAGTTTTAAGGACAATGCGAACTACCAGAGCAGGATGATAGGAATACCATAGACAGAACATCTGAGCAACAAAGGCATTTTAAAGGAAATGGAATAAAATAAGATGCTTATACTTAGAATCAAAAAAAGTTAGCTGAAATTTCTTGGACACAAGCTTAATTGATTTGATTTTCATGGCTTATCAACACTTTCCAGGTTATTTAAAGACAGAAAATATTTTTAGATTGTAAGAATTTTTTTGGAGAACATAATTATTTACTGATGCAAGTACTACTATTTAACCCATAGCTAGAGGAGAGGAGAAGAAGTAGATTCATACATTTCCCAAGAGTATTTGCATGTAAGTGAATTGGAACTCAGCTCTCCAATTTCCAATTTAGGCCATTATCCATTAAACCATCTGCACATCCAAATTTACAGCACAGTATTTTCAAGCAGTCACCCATCTAGGTACTAAGCAGGCACAAAATTGCTTAACTTTGGTTATCGTATGAGAACTGGTGTTTCAACACTTGTAGACTGGAGGATTTGGAAAATTTGACACTTACAAGGTATATCAAGGGAAAGAGAGACAGGGGAAAGCAGCATGTCAGCTACCTGATGAGCTTGTGTGAATGGATGGTAGAACATAGGTTTGGCAAAAGGGCAAGCTTTGATAAAGGCTACAAGGAATAGGAGCTTGATCACTCACATCCTGAAGGGACATGGCACATAGAAGAAAAATCTGAGAATACCATGGACCGAACATGTGAGCAATGAGAAAGTTTTAGTGAAAGTGGAAACAAAAAGGACATTTGAAGAGACAACTGAAATTTCTAGGACACATAATAAAGAAAGAAGTCTTAAAAAATGTCATACTCACAGGAGAAATTGAAAGCAAGGTGGACAGAGAGGAAAATAATGTATAACCTATCTAGCAAGCTTGAGTAAATCAATGGCAGAACAGGGTTTAGGAGAGATAACAAAAAGACAAAATTTATTATGAGCTGCAAAGAGCAGGAAATTGTGGAAAGCTATGACTATCAAAGTCCTGAAGGGACATAGCACATAGAAGAAGATGAATATTTTACTCAATTCCTGGAAAGTCTATTTCACTATTTCTGTAGAGTAGGGATTCTCAGCTGGGAGGAATCTCCAGGTTTTAGGTTGGGTCTGTTGCTTTTTCTTGTTTTTTTTTTGTTTTTTTTTACAGATTTTGTTTATTGAACGAGTTTTGTAATACAAGAAAAAGTAAAAGATAACCCATTGAAACTTTAAAGTTCACTGCTGGCATTCTGTTGAATTTTTTGTTTATTGAAGCATGCTTCAGTTTATTTATTTAATTAGTTATGAATTAAAACAAATTACTGTACATGTATTCAAGTTAAAAAATGCATCAGCATTTTCTATTGCTATTGAATTTGTAAAATTCCTCTAGGAAAAATCATCCATGTAAATGTATATGTAATAATATGGAAAAGAATGAAGATTTTCAATAATATATGCATATTATTTGGACTACAACTTTTGACTCAGATAATCTTGGAAAGGGAAGGAAGGACATTCTGACATATGGTGAAAAGGGTTCTTAGGGCAAAAAAGGTTAAGAACCTTCTTATTTCTTTTGTCCCATTTTTCATCGACCTTCATGATTAGGAAAGACTCATTTCTTGAAGGTTCCTGGCTGCCTTTCTAATTACACAATTGGTAGAGTTGTTGCAAATAATGCTGTTCCTCAGCCAATTAAATCTCAAGTAGCATTGTGATTATTTCAAAGAACTTAATTATATTTACTTATTGTTTTTGTTATACTTACTTATTATTATTGCATATTTCTTCATTGCATTCACATATTACTTAATTATATTTGCATATTGTTAAAATCTCATCATGAAAACATCGATGTTGAAAACCAAACAAATTATTTGCGTGTCATTATTTTCAGATTAATTTATTTTATTCAGTATTAATTAGACTTTCACAAGTACATGTGTATGTGTGTGAGGAAATATATATATATATCAATATATATATATATATATATATATATATATATATACACTACAGATCAAAAGATATATACACTACAGATCACCCACAATTACCATGGAATGAACTTGACAGAAGAGTGAAAAAAATGAAAAGAGCTCTTAGAGCCATTGAAAAAGGTATGGAATCAATTATCAAACTTATACTTTGAGAAACTTTTTGCAATGATTGCTAAAATTTTGTACCGCAGTAATCAAGGCTAAAGGAGGATATTTTTGACAGGAACAAAATTTAATCCTAAAATGCTTTTTTTCTTTTTGTCATAATAAAATTTCTAATTAAAAATCATGTCTCACTCTTTTTAATCATGTATAATAATTTTCTCTTATTTAACTACTTTTGGGGGCTAATTTAAAAATTACCAGGGGTTGCCTCAAAATTTGAATTGTAGTGTGTATATATATATATATATATATATATATATATATATATAGTCCCCTTCAATAGTATTGGAACAACAAGGCCAATTCATTTGTTTCTGTTCTCCACTCAAGACATTTGGTCATAAAATCTAACAAATAGACAATTTTGCTGTCACATGATTTGGACTATTTTGCTGTTACACATGCCATATATATATATATATATTAAGGCAAGGAATATTGTGTTTAAACATGTAATACTGTCACCGCTGGGTGTTAACCACAATGTCCACTTTTGTATTTACATATATCTTATCCCTGATATTGAGCACTTAAATAAATATGGTATACCTGAAAATATATATATATATATATATAATCAGATTTTAAGAAAATAATCATGTGTATATACACTTGCATGCATATATATATAAATTTATATATATACATTTTCCATCTATCTACACATACATCTCTGCTTCTATATATTTGTATATAATAATAATACAAATGAATAAATATATATATAATATATCTTCTGACTATAAGTAGAGAAAACAGATATATTAGTGTACAAGCACCCCAGTTCATTTACTCAATGTTTTTTTTTAATATATATATTTAAGATATCTATAAACAATCGGACAACAGCACATTTATAAAGAATTGGAGCACGTCCACATTTATAAAAAATGAGAACAAATTCCTATTTATAAGAATTAGACGATTTCTGCATTTATGAAGAATTGGGACACATTCACATTTGAAAAAATAAATGCATAAGCCTTTATAAACAATTGGACTGCATCCCAATTCATATGAGCGATGTAAGGAACTGCGCCACTTTCTCATTTATATAACATAACATACAAATAATGGGAAGGTATACACATCTATGGAGAAAGAAATGGACTTCATCCTCATTTATACAAGAGATGTTTCATGTTTCTACTATCACTAATAATGTATATGCATATATATATATATATATATATATATATATATATATATATGGTTATTGTCACTTCTTGACAAAAGAAGACTATCTCCACAAATTTCATTTTTTTTATAACTTTCAAACTCATCAGACCCATAAATCATGAGAGCGCAGATGACTTTTTCAACCAGCCTTACTTTTACAAGCTTTTGTACAAATGTTGCATCTGAAAGGGAGATTCTCAAACCCAACATCAATGTACATACATATATATATATACATACATATATATGTGTGTGTGTGCTTATATGTAACAAAAAGAATTGGCTAAAGAACTAGAGTTCATCCCCATTTATATAAAAGATGTTTTATGCTTAACTTTCTGGTATTGCTAATATATATATATATATATATATATATATATACACATTCATTTCTGTAGTTCACTGCTACCAACAAGCAGAAATATTTCTTCTCCTGATGATGGCCATTTTGGCCGAAACTAGTCGAGGAATCTAAATGAAATAATAAAAAAAAACAAAAGAATATTAATCTACAACCCAGTGTGTCTGAAGATTTTAATTTTTAAATTTTTTAATATTTTTTTTATTTTCAAATATATATATATATATATATATATATATATATATATATATATATATATATATATATATATATATATATATATATATATATATATATATATATATATATATGAAAAGTGTGTGTATATAAATATAAATATAAATATATATATATATATAATTATTTATATATTATATATGGTACTTATTAGAAAGCGCTCAATATCAGAGATAGAGCTAACATATTTGGTTGGATTGATATGAGTTTGTGATCCTGGGTTTCACGCTTTTGCAATCGTCAGACAAACTGATTCTTTTTTTTAAATTTGGGTTTATGTAGATTGCGTGTATTGGAATTGGATTCCCCCCTACTCATGGAAGTAGGGGGGAATTGTTGTTGTGATGTCACTCATGCTAACGCAAACATAAATGCATGTCTGTACATCCGTTGAGATACGCAGACACACATACACACTCGCTCGTTCGCCAGGGCTCATACAGACATAAACATATGTGGACAGTATGGGATTCGACATATGTATGTATATGTGTGCTGTTATCTATATACATACGCATTTCTATGTTGAAATTCAAAGATTGGAAATGTGGTGAAGATTTCTTGTGAATGTCTTGTAATCAGAGCATTTTCCTATTTTTTCACTGAATAATATTTCCTCACATACATGTATATATGTGTGGTGGGGACTGTGTAAAATTATGATAGGTAAAAATTGCTATTATTTTTAATTTTTTAAAGTTTATTTGTTATTATTTTAAAGCTGGTTTGCTTGTTTTTTATGACTGTGTATATATAACTGGTAGAAATTGCAGTTTGTAATCCTTATTGGTTATTTTTATGGTGGTATCAAATATGCTGGGGGAGGGGGTAGTTTCCGTTAATAATTATAGCGGGTCTATATGATAATAGTAGATGTGATGTGATAGTAATTTTGTAGAGGGATTGGTGGCAATGATAATATAAGTAGCTAATAGTTATTGTAAATTGGTAGAAGTGATTAGTAATGGTGGTGGGAGAATGATAAAAACAATAAATGTAATTATTGTGGTGGTAGCTTGTACTAAAAAGTGATTGTTGGTGTTTTATTTTATTTTATTTCATTTATTTATTTATTTTGGTATAAATCCTGATAATAGGTATTTATTCTCATACCTACATTTGGAAATTATCTCTGATCTTATTGGTTTTTATTTGGTGGTATTAAATATGCTGAGGGGAGTAATTTACGTTAATAATCATAGTGGATTTATATGTTAATAGTAGATGTGATGTGGTAGTAATGGTGTTGGGTGTTGATGGTAATGATAATATTAGTAGCTAATAGTTATTGTAAAGTGGTAGAAGTGATTACTGATGGTGGTGCAGTGATAATAACAATAAATATAATTATTGTGTTGGTAGCTTGAACTAAAGAGTGATTGTTGGGGTTTTTTTGGGGTTTTTTTTTTTATCCGTTTGGTATAAATTCGGATCATAGTTACTTATTCTCATGCCTACATTTGGAGATTATCTCTGATCTTTTGTTTAGTAAATTCTTTTGTGGGGTGTGGGATATTATTGCTACTTTTTCATGTAGGCAAAGTAGG